GGGAAGTTGTGGCTGTCCCATCCCTGGAGACGTTCAAGGCCAGGTTGGACGGGACTCTTGAGCAACCTGGTCTAGTGGAAGGTGTCCCTGCCCACAGCAGAGGAGTTGGAACGAGATGATCTTCAGGGTTCCTTTCCATCCCAAACCACTCTGTGATTCTATGAAATGGTGTGCAGGAATGAGGAACAGCATTTCACAGAGCTGCTCACGCAGCTGTCTGACTTTGTGTGGTGATGTCTGTTATTTGGTTAGTGACATACATCCGCTTGGTTTTAAGGGGAAAAGGGATGAGAAACTGCTGGACTTTCAAAAGTACTATTTTAGACCAGGAATCAGATTTGACTCTGTGCAGCTTATAGTTAAATCATAACCACAGAGTGAGTCTGTAACACACTGCTGTTACTTGGTTACTAACCATACATCCTGTGGGCATAAATACAGCACTGACATTTCTGTTAACATGATGGCAGAACAGTGGATTGAGGTGGGAGGCAGCTCTGATGTTGCTAAATTCATCAGTTGTGATGATGATACAAGTTTCTTGGTGTAAATGTATGTGTGCAGTTTTGGTAATATCCCCTAAACATTAAGGGGTTCCACTTCTGCACCTACACCGAGGATCAAATGGCATTGCTATCAAATGAGATGTAACTTTAGTGCTCTTAATTAGAAATACAGGGGATTTTTTTGAATCAGTATCTCTTCACCGCCATCACCTTAATGTTCTTTACATAAAAAGACAAAGCCCAAAATGTTCAATTCTACCCAAAGCAGAACCTTTTTCTTGCTTAGACACGAAAACACAATGTATTCATTGCTATATGTTATTAATCCTGGCACTTAAGCACATCAGGATGATGCACAGGCAGATTTAGCTGCGTGCAGAGCCTGGTCATTAGAGCCCCTGGTGCTTGCAGAAGAGGTGTGTTCCAAAAATAAATTCCTTGCGTTGGAAGGACAAATATGCATTGCATATTTTTTCTGAGATGTCAGGTTGTTTAGAAGGTTTTGGATGATGTGTTCTGCCCTTTTGATCAGGTGAAGCTGGAGCTTTGCCATGGAGAAGCCAGAATCTTACACAGCAAGGAAAAGTGGGCAGTCTAGATTTGGTAGTGCTGTATAGTGTTTTCCAGGGTCCTAACAGGCAGAGGCATAGTTGGAAATAAGGATTGTATTTGGATTTTTATAAAAAGGTGTAGATATAATTTATATGTAAAGGGAATATTGGAATTTAAAATTTAAAAAAAAATCTAGATTTTAAATTACTATACAAATTCTCAGGGTTAGTTAGAAAAAGTGCTGTTAACTGATTAAAAGCATCAGTCTAATGTTGTGGTGGTGTCATCTCTGGTTCCCAGGGTGGATATGTGAATTCAGAACATAAGTTTATCATCAGTTCAGCTGAAGGAGGCACAGAGACTCACAGAAAGACCCTCATAAGCAAAGCTGGGAGGTACTGAGATAGCTTATGCTCTGTGTGAAACCAATTTCCTCCAGTTATCCTGCTGGAGGGGGCTGGCAAGAGGACAATGGATCTCAAAAAATAAACGTGATTAGATTAATTCAGAAGAAACTGCTTTAGATTTCCCTGCTGTGGCTGTGAATTACCCTGCAGCCCAGTCCTGCAGATCAGCTGTCATACAGTAACTTTACACTCACAGGAAGCATTTTCCACTGTGCAAATCAAACCTTGAATACATAGTCCCTAAAGCACAAGGTGAGAGATCATCTCTGACTCACATATTTTATTAATATGAAGAACTGTGCGAGATTTTAGACCAAGTCTTTTCCCTGACTCTCAGTAGGAATTTTACAGCAACCCTGAGGCTGTGTTTGCACAGGCACATGGGTACCTGTGATTTATCACTGTGATGGCTTCATCCTGGCGTGGGTGGAAGTTGTAAAGTAAATAAGATTTACCCTCTAGATAACTTACAGTTGCAAAGATTTCTAGTGTGCAGATGAGACTTGTGTGTGCCAAGTAAGGCTTGTGTTGTACTGAATTCCTTCAGTTTTGCCCTGGCTAAAAGCATTATTGTCCTGTGGTTTAACATGGTTTCATTGCTGGCTGCTGCTTAGAGTCGTTGTATTCCTCTGCCAAAGATTTGTATGTCTTTGAAGGATGTTCAGTTGGCTGCTGAAATTTGAAGTGAAACAACACATTTTCATCAATTTAAAGTGGTCTGGTTTAGTTTGTTGAAGGATTTTGAGTCATTGTTTCAGAAATCTCCTCATAAAGGAAAGGAACACATCTGATACAATCCTTTATTCACAGATCATAATTAATCCAGGATAGCCTTAACAAGGCATTTGTCTTTTCTGGGAAACTAACTCTGCCCCCATGAGCTTTCTGTTCCCTCTGAACCACTTTTATTTACAATTAGCATTACTTAGCATGAATTTGAAATGTGGCAAAAAGATTTTCAGCTAAGGCTGACTTGACTGTGGGTTATGTAAAGCAAAACCTTCGTGTTTTATGAAATCTTGGCTGTCCCCACCGTAAGAAGAGTTTTGGTGGTCTGGTAATTGCAACCACAGTGTGTTACAGTGCTCTGGGGCTTCTCATTCCTTTTGCTGTGAAGACAAGTGTCATGCCAAGATGTGCCATATTTTACATAGAGTAGATTTCTACATTAATTTTTTCTCTCTCTCTCTCTCTATATATATATATGTAGTTACAAGATAATGTAGTGATAGAACAAGGGAGAATGGCATAAAACTGGAAGACTGTAGGGTTAAATTAGATATTAGTAAGAAATTCTTTACTGGAGAGTGGTGAGGCCCTGGCACAGGTTGCCCAGAGAAGCTGTGGCAGCCCCATCCCTGGGAGTGTTCAAGGCCAGGTTGGATGGAGCTCTGAGCAACCTGGTCTAGTGGAAGGTGTCCCTGCCCACAACAGGAGAGTTGAAACTGGATGATCTTTAAGGTCCCTTCCAACTCAAACCATTCTATGATTCTATTCTATGATTCTTTATATTTTTTTGAAGACTGGTGACGTTCTCTTTCTGTTTTAGTCCATGAAGGCAGCCCGCTGGGGGAACTTCATCGCTGTGTCCGAGATGGTGTCAAAATCAATGTTCACATCCGCACTTTCAAAGGGCTTCGTGGAGTCTGCACAGGGTTTCTGGTTGCATTTGACAAATTCTGGAATATGGTAATTATTGTTCCGGCTCTTGATTTATAACTGTTATATTGAAAACTTGAAATTTGCAGCAGGTTTAAGCAGACGACATTCCGAGAGGATTGATGTGGTATTGTGGTGCAAAAACTAATTTGCTCTGGCACCGAGTGCTGGGTTTCAGATGTAAGTGGTGCTTGGTGTTGGGCTGGTCCATCTGGGAGGTGCCCAACCATTTTAGAGAGGGTTTAGATGAGAGAGAAGCTTTGAAGAGTTCCCAGCATCTCCAAAGAATTCACGATTGTGGAATATAAGGAATATCAGAAGTTTCCAAAGGTTTCTCTGCAAAACCCAATCTTTATGTAGTGATTGTTGCTTCATTGTTTTCTTTCACTAACATCACTGGACTGTCAGTGACAAAAGCTTTTCCCTGTGCTCTACCCCATGAACATCTTAAAGACAGTGGATGGAAAAGCAGCAATTAAATATTTGTGAGCCTGGAGCTGTGAGAAGTTTGGAAATGGGGAGGTGGGAAGGATTTTGCAGGCAAGGCTCAGAAAGGTTTTGCAAGTAATGCAGAATGGATGCAACCCTTTGCTGCTGCTTTTATACCTCAGTACAACTTAGATGATTAACAAACCAGCTCCAAAGCACAGTTTGTTCTTTGGAGAGATGGATTTTCTCTCAGATAGAACATAATTTCATTATGCTTTGACGCAGAGCTGGTCCAAAGCTGCTTAATGTCTTCTTTTAATTTTGACCTTTTCTCTTCTTCCAGGCCCTGACAGACGTGGATGAGACTTACAGGAAACCAGTAATGGGCAAAGCTTTCTATGCAGAACCTCAGCTCACACTGACCCGAGTAGGTGACCATCTCCAGTTTTCTTTTTTTAATTAGTGTCTCCTTTTTCAAAGTAGTGAAAGGGGAGCATTGATTGGAAAACTGTATTTACATTTGAAATATTTTACCTCCCTTTATTACAGATGACTATAAAATGACTTGAACTGAGGGGAAAAAAATAACCCAAAATGTTTTCTGACCTTTTTGAAAGTACTTTGTCCGTAGTTCACTGTTACTAAAGTTCCACTTTAGGGTCCCGGTTATTCAGAACACAGTTGCCGCCACTGCTTAGTTCAATATGCTGAGCTTCTAGAAGCTCACTCTCTGGTTTTTGATTTATTTGTTCTGTGTGCTTTTTGCACCTGTGACTGATCAGGTCCATGTTTGTCCTGCCAGGGAATGTGGCAGAGCATCCCTCTGGTACAGCTGTTCATGGAGCCACAGTCTGTGTCTGCAGCCAGTGACACAACACGGCTGTTTGGTCACTTGAGCTTCTGGCCTGGGTACTGTGGAGCCCAAGATTCTTGCTCCAAAGCAAGACACACTCTACGATCCAGCTGCAAAGAGAGTTGTTTACCAAGTTGAGAACTGAAGGGATGATAAATGAACTTCTGAACAATGAAGGGGAAAAAAAAGTGACAGGGCTGTGCCCGTTGTATGGCAACAGCTCTGGACCTTTTTGTACATCAGAGAAGCATCACAAAAACATTTAAACAGTTTCATTGTGAGGAGTTTGCTTTCAAATTCCTGCCATTTAAATCCGTTTTCTGACAGATCCCACCCTTCCTTTTTTAAAGATTAGTTAAAAATAATCCAGTTGTCATTGTTCTTTAGCCCACTCTCACAGGGATTGGTTTTCCATCCTGTTGCTGGGATGAGACAGGCTAACCAAGAATCCTTCTCATTTGTCAGTGTTTCATAAAAGCTTGCCTGCTGCCAGAGTAAAAGCAGTTTCTTTCCCAGTTTCAGCACCATGTATTCTTAGATTAATGAGTTCATGCAGTGCTTTGGATCTGCTGCTGTACCTTGTATTATTTTTCTGTTGTTTGTGGTCTGCTCACCTCCCAGAATACCCACACGGCAACTTTTAGTTTGCTTTGGGGAACACAAAAGGTCCCTCATTTTTTCAGTGTGCACCCTTTGCTAATGGAGACCCCTTATTTTAGGCAGTAATGACACAAGGATGTCTCTAACACTGACAATATTACAAGAGCACTGGGAAAATGAGCTCATGGAGAACCTTGGTGTCTCTCTGTTGCTCTTGACCAAAGTTAAATGCTACCACACAGCAGAGTTGCTCCCCAAATTAAATTCCTTGGTGCTTACATAAAGACACTCATGACTGTGCAAGAGATCCATTCACCTTGTGTCACTGTTTGACTTGGGTAAGAAAACATTGTCTTTATTGGTGGTGAAGATTCTTCACTGGTTGTGTCTTGTGAGCTCTGATTTGGGATCATACACACAAATAACCACGTGTGGAACAAGCAGCCTCTCTTGTTTTATGAATGTGGTCATAGACACAAATGTCCTTTTACAGCTGTTTGACAGACTCAAACTTCAGGAGTCCTCGGGGAAGAAGGGAGCTGACTCAAAGACTGTCTCAGAGGAGCTGGCCCTGACAAGTGACTCTCAGACACTGGGATCAAAAGTTGGATCAGGACGAGGGAGAGCAGAAGAGGAGCGTGAAAGACAGAAACACTCGGGCAGAGCTGGAGAAAAGAAGACACCAGGTGACAGTTTGGTTGCCAGAGGTGAAGTTGATGTGGGCAGCAGGACTGCCCACACAGAGGGTGCCAGTGCTGGTGGCACCCGTGCACGGAGCCAGTCACGGAGGAAAAGGCGGCCCAAAGTGGATTATCAACAGGTGTTCACACGTCACATAAACCAGATTTTTATTCGAGGAGAGAATGTCTTGCTTGTCCATTTAGCACATTGACCTGGCTGAGCTTTGGTCAGCGTATTTATTTGATAGCATGACTTGCTGCTGCAGCTCCCATTGCTATTTAAAGTTGTCGTTGAGTTTGATGGTACCATGGCTGGTTTCCCATTGCCATACCAAGGTAGGGGAAATAATTGTAAGTAGAGCATCCTGAGCTTGATGCCAGAGCAGCTTACTTAGATCCCTGTTGGGGGTTTCAGGACAAGGTCAGCAATGGAGTTGTTTCTGTGATATGAGGGAGGTAAGCACAGATCCCACTGCTCCTTAAAAAGAAGCTAAATGGAGAGGGTTGGAAGAGAATTTTGGTGTAATCTGTTATAGGAGCTACTTGTGGCACACATTTAAGGAGCTTAAGATAAGATCTCCACCTGCAATGAATCAGAAATGCTCTTTTGCATGTTCTGAGAAATCTCAAGAGGAGATTGCTAATGAAACCAACAGTTTATCTGCTGCTGTTACATGGGTGTCCTCTTTTCCAGACATAATTCTGACAGTCATTTTGAAACAGTTTGTAAAAAGGTGGAGTGACATACTACTGATGGCTATTGCCCAGTGTGATAGAAAACCTCTTAATTGAAAACTGCTCATCTAATGTGAGTGATGACAGGACTGTAATTTGTTTTCCATATCAAAGCTTAGGCTTCTCTTTGTAGTGCTGTGCTTTGGCCCTGTGTCACCAGCAAGCAGGTGATGTAGCTGATCCAGGGGCCTCCATATTTGGGGTTTATCTGTGAATGCTGTGGATGCAGATGGAAAATTGTACTGTTACATTTCATCCATATACTGCTTAGTGTTATAGTGAAGCTGGCAAAGGTGTAGGGTTTTTCTCAGATGTGTTTGTGCTGAGCACACTTGTACTGTATCTAAGAGCCTTTCAAGCTCTCTATTGAAACTAGAGGTGCTGTGTCTCCAGCAATTCCCATGGAGCAGAAATCTTCATGGGTCTTTCCTATCCATGTGAATGATGCATCATCTAATTCCAGTTGAACTGAGCTTCAGAGGTGTGGCTGAAAATGTTTTGCAGTATAAAAGTCAAACTCAACTCATCAGTGTTTTATTTTAACAAGACTATTAAAGCCAAGGTTCTGCAGGTATAAACTGATTTCCAAGAGAGTCATGTGGAGAAGTTTCAGGGTAAGTGAAGCTGTTACATGATCTAGTCTGTTCACTTCGTTGTCCAAGGACACTAGAATTCATGCTGCTATTCCTGTATTCATCTCAACTGCCTTGTGCTTTGCAGCAGCTCCGTGTGTTTAGGATGAAGTTGGGAAATTGCTTTATATCAGGTCTTGTATTGCGTATAGGGGTCATTAAGTTCTCAAATTGAGTGACTCTTCTGTGGGTGACGTAGATGTCTGCTCCTGCAAATGCAGCATTCTGCTTGCTTGTCTTTAGGGGGATGTCTGGTGTTTGGGTGAATCACAGAAATCATTTAGCAGGAGTTCCTGGACACACAAAGCAGCTGGTTTTGCCTCTGGGGGAGCCTGAAGCTTCTGTCAACATTTCACGTGACAGGGGGCTTGGACAGCTGATGAGCTGAGCCAGTGAGCTGCAAACCCTAGTTCAGCCTGGGACAGAAGTGCTTCAGAATAAAAAGTACTGTTCAGGCAAAACAGTTTCATCAAGAGCAAAAAAGAAAAGAAAAAAGTGAAATACTATCTACAGCTTCTTATTATATATTGCTTTATTGTAATCCCTTCCCACTATGAACTGAGACCAGGCACTGAAAAGATTCTTCTCTTAGAGGCTCTTGTTTCCTCTCTTGTGCTGTTCTTGTTTGTGTTCCTGTGCTCTGCAGTTTCCCCTTTTTTTCTTCCCCCTTTCTCCTGTCAGTACTTTGTCTCTTCAGGATGTTCTAAACTCTGGTTTATGAAGACTGTTCTTGTATTCATCCCTAGTTGTTCTGGCTTTCTGAACCATTCTTGGTTGGCTTTCTGTGTGGTTCCCAACTAACCAGAACCCTCACAAATTACCAGAAACATGTGAAGCTAGAAACAAGGTGCTTATTTCTGCTCCTGGCTTCCCAGCAGCTTTTATTGCAAGTGCATATTTTCTTCGTTCTGTTTTTGATTGTGGGGTTTTTATTTCAGCTGCTTAGGATGACTCCTCTCTGCCTTTTCCATTCATGCCAAAGGCTACTGGTTTTGACCTCTCCTCTTTCCTTCATATTTGCCCAAAGGATGTCAGATTACCCTCAGGCCTGTGTACTACAACATCTAATTGAATTCTTGCTTTTCTTTACCTCATATTCTTAATTCTGTTTGTCTGCTTTGTATTGCCTTGTGAATTAAACAAGGTACAAGTGCCGTGAATGTTCTTGTGGCTGTCCTGCCCTCCTTCCTTGTCAATTGACACTTCCCCAAGTTCTCAGTTGCTACTGGAAGTCTCAGTGTTTCCTTTGATTAGAAGTTTTTCTCTGAAACCTTGCAGGTGTTTGTTGCTTCACATCTACAAGTTTCTTTGTTTACATTTTATGAAAAATACTGGTGCTTAGACTTGCGTTTGTGCCTTGATTTTTGTATCATCCCTAACCTGTTCTTCCAGAATCATCACCTTGGTCAGCAAACCTGGTTAAAAACTATAGTTTGTCTACTTTTTTTGCACTACCTCATTACTAAAATGTTCCTCCTCTTATCTGTGAAGTTGGTTAAAATTCTCTCTTCCAATTTAGATTTTATGGTTTACTTGTTGGTTCTTTGTTTGTTTCCTACTTTCCTGTCCACCTTTCTCCTTATTTCCAAGCTGCTTCCTAAATACAGCTGCCTCTTCTACAACTTCAGATCTTCCAAAATGTCTTCCTTTTCCCACTTTTTCTGGCATCAAAGCGCATTATTAAAATGCTGTTTTATGGATTTTGTCTCTTTCAAGCATCATGATTGTGATTAAGCAAGTGATCCTGTATGTGTGTTGTCACTTGCATGTTTAAAACTTCAGATAATGTTGCTCTTTAAATAAAATTGAATGTCCTGTTTTGAAATGAATTCTTCTACCTCACCTAAGTATTCACATAAATCTGTTCCAAAAAAAAGAGAAAGAAAACCACCCTTGGAAACAAATGAGCTTTGGTTTTGTTTTTTTTATTTCTGGGTTTTTCTGTCCATGGTTGTTTTTTTTCCAAACTCAGCATCAAATTTTTGTTCAAAAAGCTGGCTACTCCCAGCCTTCTCTCTCTTGGCTGCAGTGTCACAAAGATGCTGTGAGCAAAGACATACCAAAGGTATGAGGAGTAGGAGCAGGAGGCAGTCCTAGGAGACAGAAAGATGTGTGAGAGTGAAGAAGGTTTGGGCAGGTATGAAGAACCTCTGAAAAGGATCCACTGGTTCCCTGTCCCACATTTCTAGGACTTTGCTCATCCTGGTGCTCAGCGGTGGTTCCTAAAGTCTGTTTGTGGTGAGGTACCGAATTATAGGGACCAGTTTCCTGAACTAACTTTGAAGGAGTGTTGGGATAATTTGAGAAATTTTTAGGATAATTTCTAAAGCAGCAGACAAATATGAAACTTGTGAAATGTGGCGATGCCAGGTGCAGAAATGATGTAATGCCATGGTCTTGGAACGTGATGTCACAGAGATATCTCATGGTGTCATCGTGTATCTTTCCATTCCCAACACAGTCCAGCAGAGAGCCAAGTCTCAATTTTAAGAGTGGCAGTTTTATTTGTACAGTGAAGTGTTTTTGCCCAGTTCTTACCTAACACTTCTTAAACAGGGCTGTGGTAGTAGAAGAGGTAAGGCTGAGGGAAAAAGGGAGCTTGTAAAAAAAGTGTGGTTTTAGTTCCTTCTCTCAGCTGACTTGTCCAGCTTGTTAATTGCCTGGAAGTTTTTTTCCTGATCTAGAGAGGTACTTAGCACATCCTCCCCAGGTGATTAATGAATTAATCAGTGAGTGCTGTTTTCCATCTGCTTCTTGTCCTTCAGTTTTTGGATTCGTCATTTCTTTTGCAGCTTTCCCTCAGCAGGGCAAGATCTCACCAGGAATAAACCTGGCTGCCTGCTGACTTTTCCCCCTCCCTAAGGAATGTTAGCCCACCTAGTTTTGAATCCAGATAGCCTTTGCCTATTCTTGATTTTCATAATGTTCTCTTCACACTTCTGGAATTATTTGGTCAGAAGAATTATTTGTCTTGGATAATAATACTTTTGGAATTAAACTGAAAAATTTTTGAAAAATAATTTTGTTACTTATTTTCCTTCCCACAGTGGTAGGTTTTCCTTGTTTGCTGTTGCAGCCACCCACTTGCACCTGTGAATCACTGTGGGTGAAGAGGTGTCCAGGAAAAGAGAGGCAGAGAAAAAAAGGTGTCTAATTTTTATTAAATTTGACATTCTGTCCAACATGCTGCCTATACTCACCCTTTCTGTTTCTTACTGCCACTGACCTAAATGACACAGGTGGAAAATGATTTCATCCATGGTCTTGAAGGAAAATGGAGAAGCAGCAGGGACAGCAAACTGAGTTTTTGAAGATGTTTATCTCCAGGTGAACTTCCCATCTCTGATCAAACAAATCAGAGTTATAACTACCAAATTACACTGCAAGCTCTGCCACTGGATAGAACTGGAAGGCACAGTATTGCACTTTTTCAGGGGTGATGCAGTGGTTCCCTCAGCCAGGCAAGCTGTTCCCTGAGAAGCTGCTGAGGCATATGCCAGTGTCTGCCTCAGAGCATAACTGCAAAATACTGCCAATTAATATGAAGATTTTTGTCTCCTGCCTGCACAGCCAAGTGTAAAACGTAAATGCTGAGGTCTGCATCATCTGCAGCCCAGAACTATTTCAGTTCATGCTTTTGCTTCTTGACATTGGCTTAAAAATTTGAGGTGTGTACTGTAGCAATCCTAAGACAGTCTTCGTTATAACATTATGAAAAGCTATTACTTACTAGAAATTGTATTGGAAAACTAGAGTATTACAGAGTTTGTGGAATTCTTATTGTAATTAAGATATTGCAAACCAGGAAAGGCTGAGAGAATTGAGATTTTTCTCAGCTGAGACAATTAGGGGTGACCTAATTGCAGCCTTCCAGCACCTGAAGGGAGCCGACAAGAAGGATGGAGAGAGACTATTGACAAGAGTATGTAGTGACAGGACAAGGGGGAATGACTTCAAATTGACAGAGAGTAGGGTTAGATTATATATTGGGAAGAAATTCTTTACTGTGAGGGCAGTGAGACACTGGCACAAGTTGCCCAGAGCAGCTCTGGATGCCCCACCCCTGGAAGTGTTCAAGGCCAGATTGGATGGGGCTTGGAGAAACCTGGTGTAGTGGAAGGTGTCCCTGCCCATGGCAAGATGGAATGAGATGTTCTTTTAGGTCCCTTCCAACCCAAACCATTCTGTGATTCTGTGAAATGTGGAGAAAAATGTTACTATTTAAGAGCATCCTTTGCTGCTGTCTTTTTTACTTACTAGTAGCAGAAAAAACTAAGCCCTTTGGGAAAGGGTAGGCAAGGCAGTCTGATGGTCCTCCTCTGGATAGGCACTGCAGGATTGGTGCACTTGATGGAGACTTTATTGATGGAAAAAAAAAGGTGTGTAATTTCCTGTAAGTATAACACGTACATCTCTGTACATTATCCCAACTGTAGCTTTTCATGGCATGCTGAAAGTGGGGAAGCAGGCAAAGAAAGAGGAGTGAAGAGGAATTACTTGGACTCCTTGACATGGAAAGTGGCTTTCTAGCCTGTGAACTTGGGCACAATCAGGCCAGCACTGGCCAGTTGTGCTCTGTAGGGGAAGGGGGGGATGCAGAGACAGCCCTTGAGTGCAGCTTCCCTTTTCTGTGAGCCTTTCACAGCACAGGAACTGCCCCTGGAATATCTGCCAGGCTCCATCGCTAAAAACTGACATGTTTGATCCTACCTTTAAAATTTTGCAGAGGAAATCCAGTGGGATAAAAGCAAGTAAGCAAATTTGCCCTGTTGAGGCAGGAATGGAGGAGACTTGGTTGTCCTTGTTGACTTCCCAGGGGTGCAGGAGAAAGGACTACTTTAGTGGAGAAATAGCAGAGATGTTTGTCTGGTGATGTTTACAAGTCCTTTTAGATGTCACTAAGTGCTCTTGCTCTTAGCTGTTGGCAGGGAAGGCCTGTCAGGGAAGGAAAATGCCTCCTGATGTTCCTGGATAACTATCTTGTTAGCTTCTAGCTTCGTAGCGTACACTTGGATGACTTTGTTGAAAAAAATCAGTGCACCTGAGACTTTCAGTCAGTCTTGTATTCGTTTAGAATGAAAAATAGTTGGATCAGTTTGTGTGAAAACATATCCATCCTGTTTTCCTCTCAAAAGATCAGTGCTCTCCCTCAGGAAAGAAATGAAAGCTGCTCCTATAGCGACTGCTTCTGATTTTCACTACTTCAGAGCAAAGTGCAGCTGTGTCCTGTGTGTTCAGTGAGACACATCACTCTGAGAGGAGGAAATGAGAGAAGTGTTTGGTTTGCCTGAAACTAAAATGGGCATTAGGAGGGGAGCAGATGCATTGACCTCTTTTCAGATAGTGCACACATCCACTGTAGCTGGACAGATTGGGACTTGTTGACCAATCAGTCACCTATAGAGCTTCCTTAAGGAACCACAGAGGAGCAGCATGACCTGCCAGACTGACATGGGATTGGGAGTCAGAGGCTGACAAAATCTTATCTCTCTACTCCTCACTGTGGCCTTCACAAGTCACTTTGTTCCTTCTCCCTGACGCTCCACAGCTGCAGCACGTCTGAGAGCAATCCTTGCCTGTCTTGCAAGGATCTGGGGAGGTGGTAAGTGCAAAGTATTGTTATTAAAACTATCCCTGTCAGGTAATGCAGGTACATCCACCATCTGCCCTCTCCAGGCACGTGACTGTTAGACTCACACCTCGGCACATGAAACCTGCACGGGGTATCAGGTACAACAATGCACTTCAGTCTTGAAATTACTGACGTCTTCAAGGACTTCAATATCTTGTTTCACAGCTGCAGTTCCATGTTTGGGTCAGATGGTGATAAATGAGAGTGTAACGTGTTTGTAATTCCTTCTCTCTCTTCCTAAATATTTTGTTTCTTAGGAAGCTGATGCTGCTATGAACATACTGAATAATACTGAATTTGCA